AGAGGCATGCCGCTCTGGCCCTCCGAGTGCCATGACGATAAAGCTGCCATCTCTCGCCAGCGGTGCGGCTTGACTGGCTGCGGCCGCTTGCTGTAATTGAGCAACGATCTCGTCTACAAGCAGCCACCACCAAACTTGTGGTCGGGCGAGCTCTTTCCAGGACAGGTCAAAGGCCTAATTGTCCTCAGGGAGCTGTTGCAAAGGCTCGCAAAGCTCGGCCAGCGCAGCCGAAATAGCGATCAGCGGGCTAATGCAGATCCGCCAAGCTTCCTGCTCTGTGCAGCATCGTAGTCTCATAGCTCTGTCTGCGAAGTCCCCAATATCGGAGCCGAACTGGTCAACGTTGACGCGAAGCGAGCCCGTTTTTTTCAGGGACATTGGTAAGGACAGCAGCGTCGTGCAATCCAACGCAGTGGGCAGAATGTCGCGGAGATGATTAACATGCTCCAAGGGCGATGTTGGGGGCGGCAGAGGAGCTTGCGCCTTCCCCCTCCAAATCTGCAGGATTTCTCGTTGTACCCTTATAGGGTAGAGTCGTCGTCGGTAGGCGCAGTGTTGCTAGCCAAGCCTTTGAGGGTTGGGCGGTGAAGTGTTGGCTGAACATCCAGGGCCGACATGAGCGCCTTCAAGTCATCCTCCCACCGGATCGGTACAAAGATGCTGTCACACCCTGCACTGTAGAGTTCGTCAGCGAAGTCGCTCGTCCATTAGCGCCGCCATAGCCAGCTCCTGCCATGCCTGTCGAGTGAGTTCCTAAGTCACCGAAAACGAATGTTTTGGCATCGAAATCAGGGCCCACTAAGGCTTGTAGTCGAAGACGAAGGAAGCGCATAAACTCCGGCGTGGTGTGATCATTAGCGATGTGTGCCAGGTAAAAACTTCCCGGCAGAGAGGCAAGGTGCCATTGTACTCCTTGACATTCAGCATCCATGGTAACTGCCCCGGCACGTACTTCTCCCCGACTGAGTATCTGCCTAAAGTGCGGCTGCCCCAACGCATCATAGAGCCGTGTAGGTGGTGCGGCTTCGTGTCCCTTGCACTCCCGCAGGCTGTAAAGCGAAAAACGACAATCGCGAACATCCAGCGCAACCGCAAGGGGCAGGGTGGTGTCGAAGGTCGGATAAAAGAGGCGGCAGGCACCGGCTTCTCCTTTTTTCCCTGTCCAGCACTGATCAGGTCCGCGCAACAACAGCTGCACTCTGTTCCCCGTGGCGTCGTCTCCCACGACTGCTAACAGTAAGGCAGTAGCCTCCATGAGCTCCGGGCCTTCGTGAATGTGCCAGCGGCTGTGGAAAGTTTCCATGACTTGTTCCTCACCCACTCCATGCTTTGACCAAGCTGGCGGCAGTCCTTTTCGTGCTAAGAAATCTGTCCATTGCATAAGGGACCCGTGCAGCTGAGCATGCATGTAGGCGGCTGCAAGTAAGCCCTGTAACGTGCGCCGGCGAGACCACGAGAAGTGGACCAGTGCCCCTTGTCATGGCGGCTGTGAGGCGCTGATGAGCTGCCTCCCCCCGTTCCGTAAACGTCCCAACACGATCCACAATGCACAGGTCCACCGCCCCTGTAGACCCAGCACATGCCGTGGCCGTGTAATTGTCGACGAAGGGGGCGAGCAATGCGTGGTGCTGCTGCATAAATTGCTGCACAGCCTCTGCCTGCTCCACCGTGGAGACATCCTCCGGTTTGGGCACGTCCGGATTCTGCTCACCTACCCAGTCACACAGTAGCTTATCGCGATCAACGTGGCTTGGTGGGATTTGCTCGTCCTGGCCGGTTAGTCCGGCGTTGCTGAGCCGTAGGTAAGTCCGAAACTCGTATAGAGGACTCGATTGGCCGGGTTGACAAGAACTATGCGCTTGCCACCAGCCGCCCTAATACGGTGCCCTTCTGTGATATATAGATGCGCGAGGACTACCGAAAGGAGATGACGGAGGTCCTCGGGGCGCCACGTTGCATGGCCTTTGCTAGCCGCAGGGATCTCCAGGAATCGGAGTCCGGGTTGCCATCGGCCGGCGCGGTCGGACAGTGCACTCACTCGGTCGGCAGTAGGGGCCGCTAGTCTCCCGATGCGGGACCGAGTCGGATGTACAGGCCACTCAAGGCTCCACTGAACGGCCTGTGGATACGGGACAGCGGCGATCATGAGGTAAACCTCAGTTAGCAGGCGCGTCGAGCTCACGAGGCCCAGGTTAAAGGCGACTCCATTAATGGCTTCCAGCCCCTCAGCTTGGTAAACATTGACTGCGCTCTTGAGCTGGGCACCTGACGCTGCCAAGATGGCCATATAAGTAAGGAACCCCTTTGGGCCTGTATCCTCAACTGGGACCGCTGCAATCGCCACCTCGAGATCCGCTGTGCAATGATCAGTAGCGCACGGATGACTGTGGATGCTATGAATGGCCGCACAGGGAATCCTGTGGCCCCTACCTCCAATGAGCAAGCGGCACTCACCATCCTCAACGGCGTCGCTGACCAGATTCCCCTGAGTTGATGGCATGTGTGATAGAAACAAGCGCCGTGCCCAGCTCTCCCGCAGCAATACGCTGGCGCCTTCAAGGTTGTCCACAACTTGGGTACCCTGCATCACGCGCGCCAAGCTGGGAATCTCATCTACCCGGACCCCGGATCGGGCCGAGGTGGGTGGCCCGGACCAATCTGTTGGTGGCACGTCCGATCTGCCCAGGCTGCACGAGCGGTATAGGGGAGTGAGCAACGCCTCGAACACCTACCTTTTTCTGAAGCAGCCAGTCGATCGTCGCAAACTGCGTTTCATTACCCCCACCTCCCCTGGGTTGCTTAGGGTCTCCCGTGCGGATGACCAACACTGGGTCCGCGGCCTCCGTGACAGTCACTGACTCGGGGTGTCCCTCCTGCTGGCCTTAATTCATCAATGACTAGCGCCCTGCAGCCCACAACAGACAATTGAACATCGGATCTGTAACGATTCAGCTGCTGCGACCCTGAGCCCTGAGTAACCAGGAGAATACGTGCGTCCGCAATCGACGGGGGAGGGTCCTGGTTACTTCCTCCATCTGGATTGGTAGCAAGGCAATTGAATGGGTTAGGGGGATCGTCGCAGACCTCGTCTAAGCCCAGTGGGCCTTTGCCTTTGCCTTTGCCTTTGCCTTTGCCATTGCGCCCAATGCCATGTGTCAGGGGAACATGATCATGAACCGGCGAGAAGAGCTCCTGCTTGCCTGAGACCCTGCGCACTAGCAGTATCCTGTTCAGCCATGTGGGTGCATCACAACAAGCACATTGTGCGCTATCAGAATTACCGCCTGCAAGGCCGCATGCTGTTGCGCAGCACCACAGGGAAATCGAGGACGGCGTCAATGCACAAGACTGCCAGAAAGAGGGAGAAAGTTTTCGAGGCTCCAGGGCAACCTAGGATATTAAGGGAGCTGCGATTAGTCGCACGACAAACCGAGATCAAGCAACCTCGTGATAAGGGCGCAAAAGGCGTGCCCACGCAATTGGGCAGCCTCAAGATAGGTCTGTGGGATACTATCACACGGGACTTCCCAGCTTCGTCATGCAGACTCGTGGGAGGCCTGGAACGCAACTTCTGGCACTCATTCCTCAGGCTGTCACGGTGGCTGGCCCAGGAGACATTTTCGGCGGCTGCCGCTTGGCCTCGGCCGCCTGCGGCCGCAATTCTATATATGGATTGGGGGTACGTTAGGGCCAATTAATCTTGCATGTCCGAAGTGGGTCGAGTGGCTCCCAGCTCCGGCCAGCTCGAGCAGCAGCGACTCCAAAAAATCCTAGCCAATTTTGCCCCAACGAGATCCAAGCAAACGAACGTCAGTGTTCCGATTTGCAGCTGAGATCAGGGTGTTCGACGAACGGAAGGCAATGGAAAACCAAGACGCTCCAGTCGCGAGGCAAGTTCACCCGAGACGCGCTTGAAAGCTTGAGGCGTGTAAGCGGCTAAGGCCCACATGTGACCTTCATGAGGCTCGATCTGATGAAACCTTCTTGCCTCGAAGGTGATGGGTTTGTCGTGGATGTCATGCCATGTTCCCATCAGCGGACGAACTTTGGTTCTCAAATTTTGACTTCGGCCGGAAAGTGTCCATTTTCATCCTCGACCCACACGCGACCGCCGGTGAATGAACCCAAAGTGACGGTGTGGTTAGGCTGTTCTTTCATATTAAGCAGGTCTCTGCGAAGACCCACCTTTGGATTGCAAAGAATGGCGATGGAAGTCCATTTGCCGTTTGGAAACCTGTTCTGGAGAAAATGATTGACGGCTGAGCACATCGATTCGTCATCTGAGGCTCGGGAAATCCCGGTAATGCCTCCGTAAGGTTAAAAACCCAGCGTGCAGTATTTTTCATATGCGCCAGGTCCGATCGCTCGAGTCCGACCCTTGTGTTTCCATCCCGTCGACCACTCGTCAAGCATGTGAACCAGACGAGCTTCCGTCGGTTCGCTGCAAACGACGGCTGCCAGTTGCTCCAGCTCTGGTTTCATCATTTTCGGAGCGGTTTTTATCTTTTAACATGCAAAAAAAATGAGCGGAGCTTCTGTCCGACGTCGAGGGGTGAAAAACGAATTCTTGAATTCAAGTTTCCAGCTTTTGGAAAGGTTTCCATAGAGGCTGTCAGCAACCTTTCATTTCGTGCCACTGTACATTGCTAGAGGGGACACTCTTGAGGCAAGACGTCCTGCAGCTTCAGATCCTTAGCTTCCATCAGAAGCCCGCGCTGCTGTCCCATGATCCAGAGCTGGCGCACCTCGACGGCCACCAGGGTCTTGCGTCCGCGAAGCTCTAACCTTAAGTCTGTTTCCATCTGCGTCCCAGAAACGCACCCGACTCAGATTCACTTTCAACTTCAAGCAGTCGCGGGCCTGCTTCTTGATGGCCGACATCATCGTTTTTCCCTCGAGCCTGCCGGCGGCTTGCTTTTCGAGGGCCTCGACGGCGGCACGCATCTCGTCAGTGAGCTCTAGTAGGCACAGGCTGACGCGTTCGTTTGGTTCGCCCTTGCTGAACGCGCTGGGCTCGTAAAGGA